ACTCAGAATTAACAATTATTACCCTGGCAGAGGTGTAGTAATCGTGTCGCCCTCCAACTTGACTTATTCAGATTTCGCTAGTCGTCCGTGGGCGTCGTCATCGCAGTGGAGAAACTCTTCGATAAACAATGCCACCACCGTTGGCAATCCAGGGCCGAATCAAATGGATGCTTCCCGTTGTCATACCTAACTAATTATGAGTCTAACATCCTCCTAACAACTATGTTTACATATTACTCAGGTAGCAGGGCAATCGTCCATACAACGACCCTCTTACGGGTGCACTAACAGATGATCCCAGTATCTACAGCTTCGACTGTAATAACTGCTTGCATCGGAATATGGAACAAGTGGTACGCCGTCATGGCCGCCAATGGAATGGGATAACTCTTGCTGATCATGGTAATCCATTCGTGTGATGTCAACCTCGGCGTTGTGGCCTGCCTTCATTTTCCTGAGCAAGGCCTTCTAGGCCTCTGCTACTACATATTAATTCGCCGTGACTTACCAAGACCTGCCATCTTGCCTGTAGATCGTACCCCCCTTTCAGGCCACTTTCTACGGCAATACAACGTCATGCACAGCTCTTGGCAAGGATGCTTATGAGTATAAATATCGCCCAGGTGTCCTACTAAGATCAGCTCTCTACTCTTCAGTGCCTTTCTCATTCTAGACTCTGTCAGCCTTAGCCATGGTACGCAACGCAACAATGATGCGGGCCGCCGCCCTGGTTGGCGCGTACAACGTCACAGTCATCGACATGCCTGTGCCTGTGCTGCAGAACTCCACAGACGCCATTGTCCGCATCACTGCCTCGGCCATCTGCGGCTCTGACTTGCATTATTACCATCAGGGACTGGGCTCCCCAGGCAGGCCCGTCCCAATTGGCCATGAAGCCATTGGTTATGTAGAGTCCATCGGCGATGCGGTTCAGTCTCTACAAGTGGGCGACTACGTCGTAATCCCAGACAACGTGGACGACGGCCATTTCACCTTCGGACCTGACTTGCCTCACTCATACGGCGGTCCTGACCTGGGTGGCACTCAAGGTATGTTGAAATCATCCCCTTTAATCAGCTCACCCGGCTGAACCTTCTCCATAGCCCAATACGTCAGAGTCCCATTCGCCGATGATAGTCTCATTCCAGTCCCGGTCAATGCGACTACAGATGATGCTACCTTGATGAACTATCTCTTCGTATCTGATATCTTCGCAACTGGATGGACCGTTCTGGACTTTGCGGGATTTCAACCCGGTGACTCGGTCGCCGTATTTGGTGCTGGCCCCGTCGGGCTCCTGGCCGCGTACTCGGCTCTGCTGCGCGGTGCATCTAAAGTCTACTCTGTCGACCATGTCCAGCAGCGCCTGGATCTTGCCGCTTCCATAGGATCCATCCCAATCAACTTCGCCGAATCCGATCCAAGCGAGCAGATCCTGGCTCTCGAACCAAATGGCGTCACTCGAAGCGTGGACTGTGTAGGTTACGAAGCCGTCAATGCGCAGGGGGAAGTCGAACTGGGTATCGTGCTACACAACATGATGAATGTCACGAGCAGTTATGGGGGCATCGGAGTAGTGGGTGTCTACCTCGGAGACGAACAAATGTCCTTGTCAATGAGCCAGTTCTGGCGCAAAGCTCTGACCATGGGCAGTGGCATTGTTCTGCCACTACACCATGCTAACGAGCTCGTCCAACTGATTGCTAGCGGCAAGGCGTCGCCGAATTTCATTGTGAGCTCGACAATTGGCATTGAGCAGGTGCCCGAGTACTATCGTCGCTTCGATCAACACCTCGAGACCAAGGTCGTGATCCGATTTCCATAAGATCAGCAGATTCGTTGGCCGTGCACATTCGAGAAGGTCGAGCAAGGTCTATGTGTCGGCGACGAGGTTGTCTTGCCTAAAGCGGCCTAAAAATACGCTCTTTCCATAATCACGGAACATATGCGACCTGATAATTGGTCTTTTAAAGTAGATGCCTGTTTAATAATATAAATTAATCCAGCATGAATATCTTGCTTCTGGTTTTCGAGACTAGATCTCTTGACCAACCTAACGATAGAACGACATCTGGATCTGAGCGTAAGGTAGATATCTGACTAGAGGCAATCTATGGGTAGTACTAAACGATCGGAACGCAGCCATCAAAGTCATCAGATCCATAGAACAAGTAGAGACCCTTAAGCAATTTAAGATCATACAGTAAGCAGACGAGGCTGGCATGAGCACTTGTAAACTTGGCAGAACTGAATGCTCATCCCAGCATAGATCTATATTTGTTGGGGAAACGGTCTACAATGCAGATCCGACACTTTACATACCTGGTACAAAAAGAAAAGCCCAATTTCGCTTGAGCACTCGCGGACACGAAGAAGGGCCAAGATATCATAAAATATTAGGCTTCAAATATCCATCTATATCATAGCATGTAACCTCGACCAAGCACGGGGACATTAGCACCGCGCTGGGTCCTCCGTTACACAGTATCATTAATGCGCGGACTGCTTCAAGATGAAAGGTTACATTTCAGATACGGGTTTCAGGACCAGACTGCGCACATGTCACTCTTCCCGGAACTTCAAGCTCATAAGCAATTGACAGGCTCGGAGCCAGCAGATCTATCGAATGCCCCTTCGGCTTCAAAAGCCTCCTCGATACTACCTCCCGGCCCGCTGGATGAAGGGCCGAAGCCTTGGCTGGCGGGCGTGAGGCCAGAACAAGTCAAAGAGCAGGCAATCTGGCATCGACCTTGTGTCTTCTAACAGTGGTCATTCGCATCTGAGGATGACGAATGGTTCAACTTCGATGACCTTGAAATCCCAAAGTCTTGTCGTCTCGCACCTGACGACTTCATCACGGCTGCGAAAAATAAAGAGGTAGGCCTTTCCCCTGGCGTCTTGTTCCAGTACTTAGATGGCGACAGAAACCGGGGGCTCTTGACGGATATTCTAGAGGTGACTACGTCAGTGACCAGGATGTGACTTACATATCACTTTCGAAGCCCAAGCATCCGTCAGCGAGAAACCCAACGTGTGGCAGGTCACCACCGATACATCCGATGGATTCCACATGCCATCAACACACAACGCCTTCGTCTGGCCAGGAGGAGAGCTCGCATACGGAGATGCTTTTGGTGGAATCTTATCTGAATGCGGCGTATAACTCAGATTGCTCCGACCTATCACGCAACCACGAGATGTTTGAGGATACTATTGGGGCTGAAAGTCTGAATACAACTAACACTGGAAGGGGTGCACGACTGCGCAGTGCATGACCCCTAAATGGGGACTCTGTGATTAAGTATCATTCCGTATAGAATATGATATGACCGAATCACCAGCCGCTGTGCAAGCACAGCATATCTTATCCGAATAATATTCATCCGAGCGCCGACCCGTTTCACCAAGTCCTTTATGGCTGTCACCTGTCAAAGTTTGTGCATTTGAGTTCCGGGTGCAGCTCGCGGGGGGTAGAAAAATCTCATGGGGGGTGGCTAAGTGGAGCATACCCCTGAAGCGAGATTTTAGTTGCGGAGGGTAGAGTGTGTATATGCTGAGCATATGCTCAATACTCACTAAAAATATAGTAGCTTACAGTAGCTAAGTTTACTAGAACCTCAGCATATACTAAATATATACTAGATATAAATATACTAAAGCTATTATAATTATACCTTATATTCTTTAATAAGAGACTCTTACTACCTTTTAAGCTTCTAAAACTAACTTTAACTTTATCTAACCCTTATAGCTTAATATATACTTAATATATATTAAGTATATAATATACTTTTAGAAGACTTAGCTACTATAAGTTATTATAGTTATAGTAGGTATAGAGGGTATATGCTTAGCATATGCAAAATATGCATCTCTACCCCCTGCGACTAAAATTTCCACTAGGGTTTAATTAGGAAGGTGCCCCATTTAGCTATCCCCCGTGAAGATACAAGTGAGCGTGCCAATTGCTACACAGGCTCAATTAGGGTGCACACGGACCAGGTTACCTATGATCTCAAGGTGGTATGCAGTCAGAATCTTAATCTGACCACCCCCTTGTATATGCAAGCTAGGCTAAATTGTAAGTTTTGTGTCGTTGACAATATGCCTTATGCGGGAGTCGAGGTGGTAATTCACTCTAGGTGGTTAAGATTTCACATTATGAACACAGGTGCGTATTTTGAGTCTCTCATAGGTGAAGGATCTATGGATGCGATCTCATTCACCTGCTCTTGTCTTGGTATGTCATATTGTGATCTATTTGCGTCTGTCCCGCAGTAGGTCCGAAGGGCGATTGAAGCTAGTCATGAAAACAAAGATACAGGATTAAGTATGATGTCGCTGGCGTATCCAAAGGCCAAGGTGTAGCCGATGTAAGCGAGTATGGTTGTATGAGAATGATAGGGAAGTCCCCTTCACATAATCCTCTCTTATCACTACGATATATACTGTCTGTGCAGTTCTCAAAATCGAGACCACATGCTTGATATCTACACGGCAGGTCTTCTCGCCTACTCTTTTACCGTATTGGCAGCCGGCAGATCTTTGAGGTGCTCGTACACTCTTCTCCCCTTACCCTCGAGGACCTCTCTCGCATAGGACTCCATGCTAATCCATGCTATATCCGGATACAAGTCCTTTGTGGTAAGGTATCCAAGATAATCCGCAAACTCGGGTGTGTTGTCTCCTCGAACACCGCACGAGTACCAGTATTGAAATTGGGCTAGCACGATGAACTCCCCGGAATCGGGGCTCGGTCGTTTTTCTTCAATCTCGGATATCTTCGAGCTAATACTTTCCGGGGATACCTATCGGACGTTAAATTAGTTGATCAGCTAGATACTATCTTAAGGTGTACTCACATATCTCCGATCAAGCTTCTCCCCACTGAGTTTTTCCATAAGATCATACATCTGGTTATGTGTTAAGACTTCGTTGTAGGCAAGGACCATTCTGTTCAAGGTTCGAGGGTCGGAAATGATCCGAGCAACATATTTCCCGACATCTCGCAAGTCTGTCAAGGCGAATGGGACGTTTCCGTCACCAGCAATGCCATCCGCTGTCTCCATTACCGCATAGTCGATACGGCCAGACGGAAGGCGAGGAAGGTTGACTTGATACCACCAGCCAACATCCACCACAGTGTATGGCAGGTGAATCCATTTGATATGATTCAGCACATCCTCCTTCTGCGGCGAATTGGTCAGCACAATGCCTCATCAACATCATCTCGTTCCAACGGGCAGCTTACCATCTCCCTCAACAGCAGTGCGCCCTTCGGTGGCGCGACAGTTGCAAAAAAACAGGGCAGATATCGTTTAACGCCGGCAGACTTAGAAGCGTTGGCCAAAGGGATCTCTGCCATCAAGTTGCCGCCGTAGATAGTGGAAATGACAACGTCGACACCCAAAAGAGTCTTTTCTAGGGCTTCTTGAGGACCTGTGAGATCAGCAGAGACGATATGAACTCCTTGCTTGGCCAGTTCCAGAACTGCAGGCTTCTGCAAAGAGGACGGTCTTGTCAGAGCCATCACTTCCTGATAATTATCAGCTAACATCTCCATATCAAGATTGTCCCAGCAAAGAGAGCAGTACTAACATATTTCGGTGCTGTCGATTCTAGAAGAGCTTGCACAATGACGGAACCGGTTTGTCCGGTAGCGCCGACGATTGCGACTTTGATGATTTCAGATGTCATACTCGCGTTGGGGACCAGTTGAGATCGTTGTCAGATTTCTGAACCAAACTTTCTTAGGCACAGTCCAAATCATGCCCTATAGCGGTCGCATGAACAGGAGCTTTATATAAGCGATTTGGGACCCCACATATGTTTTTGAATCGAGTCATAGAGATGGCGCTGTGAAACACCCTGACGTTTGGTTGCTAAGCAAGACGATTGGCCCACGCAAACGGGCTTAGAAATATACCGACAGCTCATCCTTTTCAGCCAGTAGCCCAGTGAGTACCGCAATTGCAGACGGATACAAATAAATTCCGGCGCTCCACTTAGTGGCAGAAATAGGGCTATGCTTACACAATGTATTATCACAAGCAACATAACGTACACCCAATGATGCCCAAGCTTTCAAAAAGAGAGAGGCCCACGTTTAAATTTCTCGAGAAGCAAACCGTTGTGGCTACATGTAACATTTACACCGAAGGTTGAGGTAAACCATCGTTTCTTGTATTTTGGCCCTTAGGCGTGAGCATTAAATAGACTGTGTTTTTTGTGCATGCCTTACCATCGTTTGAGAAACCGGCGTTTTGAAGCTGATAGAGTGGGTTTCGGCTATCTTCATATTCATAGGAAGCCTGTTGGTGCCTGGCTTTGATCTGTCCGAAGAAAAGGTGTGGCTATCTTCGCCTCGGAAGGACTGGGCAGGAATGACGAGGGAGCTTGATGATGCTATAGATGCAATGCAGAGTTGTTCAACTTGCTTGTATATTATTTGGCAAGGAAATATATCTCAAATTATGTCAGAAATTGAAAAGATGTCTATCAATTACTCTCGCAAGACCATATTGTCCAACAGGTCCCCCAACGTCTACAGCCACAACGCAGCCAAGACGGCAGCAATCACTAGTAGGATAGTCGGACTCTTCCCACCCTGGATTCGATAGGCTGTGGACTCGTTGGTTGTTGATGAGTTACCCACAAGACCAGGAAGTTGATCTTCACCCTCGATGAGGACCACTGCCATGCCGCTCTGTATTGTGTATTCCAAATTAGTCAAAGCAATTGCTAGGTGATGATACGGATCCACACTTACGACAACATGCCATTGTAGATGGCAATGGAGCATCCACGCGCCAGGGTTATCTGTAACATACCTGCGAAGGTCAGCTTTGCCTCCGACTATTTGGGGCGCTGTTGGACCGACCGTAAAACCGCCCATCCGGATGCTGGAAGCTCGACCGTATCGCGGTAAGGAGGATTATCAAAGTTCAACAGAGAACCGGATGCATCATTGACCGTTGCGTGTGGAAAAGAGCCGCTGCCAGTTCCGAGGACCCAGAACTTATGCCCGTGAAGGTGCATGGGATGACCCATCTTAAGTCACGCAGTCAGAACATCAATCTTCGAATTAAACGAGCGGGTGACGTACCGTATCCATAGAATCATTCGCAACGTTCATGATGATATCAATCGTCGAGTTCGAAGGCATATGGAAAGTCGTGTTTGCTTGCCACCCCTCCGACTGAGCTCCGTAGATGATGGGGACTCTGGGTTCTTGATATGGTGCCTCGTTAACTACCCACGTGGTAACATCAGTCTGATTGATGTTGAAGACATGCGTCTGATTCGCGGCTCCAGAAGGGGGCGGAGTAGACTCGAAAGGATAGAGAAGCTGAGGCTCGACAAGTGGTGCGTCAGCCTTGGTGGAACCATTTGTGAGCATCCAAACCATTGCCGGATCGTCTATCACCGCCGCAGAGTCGTTCCTTGTACTACACGTCTGGAGGGAACCTGTGAGCTCGACGTGAGGGAAGACTAGACAAGAGAGCTTACGTCGTATGAGACAATCGCCTGCCCCTCAAGAACCTGCTGCATGTCACCGACAGGATATGTAGCAAATCGAAGAAAGTAATTCCCTGCTGGCTGATCAAGTCGGACCATCACTGAGTACCGTTGGCCAAGAGACATGTGCAATACCTAGACAGGTAAGCCAATGCTGTGTAAGTGGCGCACCTGGGAGTGACAAGACTTACCTTGACCTCCTGCAATTCAACGTACAGTCCATCAGCAGCATAGATGACCATCGAGTGCCCATCCATCGATATTCGTAATGCACTTACTGCACCGGAATTGACCAGGTTGAGAGCAAGCCAACCCTGGGTACTATTCGCGGGGACAGTGAAGAGAGCCGACGTGGTATTGGTGCACGTCTCTGGTGGAAGAGAGCTGGTGTTGAAGCCGGGCTTGAACATCATTGGCATGGAACATCCCTTAGGACCGAGGAAAGTCATTTCCGGCGACACACTCGTCGAGGCTGACATTGAAAGTACTGTGGTCTGAGCCGGTCCATCCATGGCCTCTGTGGGACTAGCCATGTCCATGCGCTTCCTCATTCCTGACATGGCCATCGACATTTGGCTCATTAATGGCGATGTTTGGTTCATATCGTCTCCCATTCCAGGTCCAGCTTGGAGTATATAGTCGGGCAGACACTGAACTCTTCCGTTGCCATTCGCCAGGATGCTATCGACACAGTTTGGGAACGCACCGGTCGTGAAGTATCGTGACCAGATGACATCTGACAGTTCATGTGTCCAGTCGTTTAGCAAGATCGAGGTCGCATCTCGTTCAGCTTGTAAGAGCAGGGTCTTTTCTGTGTCGTTCATAGCCAATTTCTCAAATGGCCGAACTCGTGAAGGAGAGGGGCGTATCAACAACGGTCCTCTGATGGCGTCGTTGTAATAAGCTCGGAGGTGCGAATGATACCAAAAGAAGCCATACTCGTCTCCTAGGCTGAATCGATAAGTAAAGTTCCCTCCAGCAGGTATGGGATCCTGGCATTCGTCAACATAGCCCGAGCACACTGTGACAAGTAAGAAGAGAGGCTCACCTGGGTGACTCCTGGGACTCCATCCATTTGAGGAGACCCTCGCTGCAAAATGCCTAGCACAACGAGTATCAGTCAATATGGCCTTGGTGGCTCAGGCCGAGCAGCTTCTGTTGCATCACACACCATGCCAATGAATTGTGGTGTCTACAGGCAGATTGTTTTGGACTAACACCTCAACATCATCCCCTTCGTCGACCTCGATGCGGGGCCCGGGCAGTTGGCCATTGATGAGATAGACCTCACGACTGGCGCCGTCTATTCAATATGTCAGTTTTGGAAGACTAGTCCATTGGGACGATAATGTAGCTACCGGGCGCTCTGGTTTCACTGTGTATCGTGAAATTGTATCTGCGCAAGATCGCAAGGGACGAGCGAGCATGAAAGAGAAGGAAAAGGAATATCACTGGGAAGTAGCGGAAGCAATAGACGAACATGTTGACACAAGGATGTAAACTGCGATCTGTAGAGCAGATCGCAGCGAAAACACGAGCTATTTGGTGTTGATTTTGTAGCCTATTGACAGTCAATGTCCTGTACGTAGCGTTTAGGCCTCCATTAGTCCTGGCTTGCGTATAGCGGATCCCAGTCCGTGGAATGGCATGTACCATAATCAAACCGGAGCGCCCATGATCATCACCAGAATAGCCTAGCAGACAATTAGTACACGTATTTTCGTTGCCTCGCCGAGATCTCGCCCCTGATGGTATCGAGTTGATAGGCATTCGCCGCGCCATTAGGGGGTGGCGGAGGTGGAGGTCATCACTCGCAGACGGGCGAAGGCTATGTCACAAGCCAAACGCACCGTCACCGGCACAAATCGCGCAACTGGAGCCCTTTGCGACAGGGCCGCCTTGTGGGCGCTTACGAATCAACGGGATAATGTGTCCGTCCTGATCTAAGCTTGAAGAGTATGTATTAAGGGTATGGGACAGTCTGGATAAGGGAAGATCGGCGTGATGGCTGATGCGACAGTCAGGCGAACGGTCCATTGAGGCCTTTTTGCGGGAATTCGCCCTCGCCGATTCAGACGTAGTCCTTGGACCGACACATTCAAGCCGACGCGCCCCAAAAACGAAATGGCTTGCACTGCTGTAACGATGAGTTGCTACTACCTAGTATTCGTTAGCCAGAATTTCCGACGTTTGGTAATCACAGGCTAAGCCATTTCGCTATCGGCCATCAACGTGCCAGCCATGTCTCCATCATGCATGGAAGCAAGGGGCTTGCCTGACAAAAGTAGGGTCATCAGGTCTTATCACATGCTCTCAACCTGGATCAACCACTATCACAATGTCTTATCCTCAGCTGAGCTGCCATGCTTATCCCTGATCTGGGCTCTCCTGTCGTAGCTAACCCCATAGTCCTACATCCCCTACACAGGCTCCATGCACTATCGGAAAAGCCAGAGCGGTATTGGTCGCAGAAGTTATTCTACCTGACTCGGCTCTTTCGCCTTTTCCTGATAGATGAGGGTTGGTCCACCACTGCTGATAACTATATGCGAGACGAATTTGTTGCTTTGAAAAGAAATAAGTGTGAATATACTTACATGTTGGCAAAAGTTCTGGGGACACCTAACGTGGTTGAAGCTGAAACGAGTTTTGGCGTCTCAATGATATACCTCGCCCTGCTGTAGGATACATAGAACGTACTCTTCTAGCAGGCAGATCCGACGAGCCTAGCCTGGTCACCGGGCTGGTTATTACGACCGAGAAATAACCCTCAAAGGCAGAGAGAGCCAAGATGCACCGGAGGGAGGGTCGGCGACGGAGTGGAGCTATAGGTTAGGTACGTGAAGGCGATTTTCTCGAAACATTAAAGGTTGAGCGAGGGATGCCCGAGGAGATTAACCCGCTGCTCCTTGATACTACGTTCTCTATGGTCGTCTTGCTCTACTGTTAGGTTGCTACTGACGGCGACTGTATAGTATGGACCCTAACAGCTTCTCCAATCGCGCTTAAAGTTTGGTGCTATTGTCGTGACAGACAATGTAGGCATTGCAAAGATGCCGTATGAGGACTTCCTTGGGTATATTCGAGACCCCGCAAACGGCTTCAGAACACAGACGGTACCATTCAGTGGAGAGCTTGAAGTATCAGTTTATTTACCGCAGCAGTAAGGACTTGGAAGATAGTCTCTGGGAACATTTTGGAGCAGCGAGATTGCATATCATGGGTAAATAGCTAAACAGCAACTAACGATCGTCCGTCGCTCTACCACGCATGACCTCCTCGACCAAGATGACAGGCGCGACTGGCAAAAGAGTGACTAGATTTAGACAGCATGTAAAGAGCGACTGGGGTGAGTACATACATGTAAAGAGCGACGGTTGTTGTTATTGTCAGTGGCCCGCACCGAACCATTACGATCTACCTCTCGTGTCCTTATTGTGCCCCCAACACCCGTCCGCCTCCCACCCCGCCTCTACGTCCCCCCTAACCAGACGTTATCTAATGTTGAATCCAACCGAGAGCCAGTTCACCAAGGAAGCCGCCAGAGAGAATGGCAAGTAGGTATCCAAGATTGAAGGTCATAACCGCAAGCATGCTAGGAGAACCGAAAGGCGATCAGTCTTTGGCTCATCACAGGCACCGCTGGGGAAGAAGGACACTAACAGTAAGTATCCGATCGTCATGGTTGTGAGTTGGAACAACGCCCTGCTGAGCTGGGTTGTCGTGTTCCACCTATGGCCGGACCTGACCTCAACCTCATCTTCCCGAGTCTGCCCCATCTTGAGGTAGTTGTTGACTTCGTCGCCATTGCAACGGCTGGGTTGTTTAGGGGCCCAACGTTTCTCTGCCATGCTCCGCAATGTAGTCAGAAAACGCAGGAAGAGAGCCATAAGAACAAGTAGACTGATGGCGCCAGCGTAACCCTGGCTGTTTGTTGGCGTCAGGGACGTGATCCAGAGAGTATCACCGCTACCAAAGTGAAAAGCATTGGACATGCCGGACACGGAAGCCATGGAATCCATTTGGGTTATCGATGGGGCATCCGCCTTACTGCTGTTTCCTGTTTCTGCCGTCGAAGACACGACCGGGGTGGGAGTGCTGGCCATGGCAGCGAGGACGGTATCGGGGGGTGAGCTCGCGGCAACAGAGGTTATACTAGCCATATCCATCATGCCCTCCATACCGTTCACCTCTCCCATACTTGACATACCCATCGTAGCTGATCCTGCCTAGATAGATACGTGACTTCGAATACGGCAGCTGGAGTCGGAGACACTAGGCACACAGATTGACAAACAACTTCAGGAGTGAACGAATGAGATGCGACCAGCGCTGAGCCATTACAAGTGAAGTAAAAGACGACGACAACTGTGTGTTTAAGAGCCACAGAATTGAAAATTAGGATATCGCTGACGCTGCTGAGCCTGGGCGATTTCACAGGATGCAAACAGAAACGAATGGATATGCATCTGGCACGGCCTGTACTCTCACTTCTCTGACTTTAGCAGGTCTTGGCATTGTGTCTGTTGAAACACGCAAAAAGACCGCAAGACATGCCTCTCACCCCCGCGATCCTGCGTCTTTTGCCCCTCACTTCCACCTCAAACCTGCCTATGGTTGCATTGCTGAATTGCCGTACATCACTAGCCATTGGCCATCATTGGATCATGCCTATTTGGAGGGCAATTACGTGGCTTAGGCTTGAAACCAGCGGGCTCGCAACAGATCTGGAACTTCGCTGGAGCGTGTTCAAGGAAAGCAAGATATGCCTAATAAATGCGCAGTCACGATGAATGAATATTATATGTCGGGATGCAAAACACATGGTGGACAGGCTAAGACATTTATTTCCTAATCAACCAAGCCACCCTTATGACAATGCTACTGACTGGTCACACTAACACACGATTGGCCTGGGGGAATTAATATCTGCTCTTGGCCTCTATTCCGTCCATGATCATCAGGTTAGTTCGACGCTTCGGGCATATCCAGTGGCCCCTCCTCATCCTTTATGACCCTGCCGCCTTTAACCTGCTTTCCGGAATTCTGGATGGCCAGCCTCACTTGGTCGAAAGTCACATCATCTGTAACGACAACGTTGACTTTCTGGCTCTCGACGGAAGTGTCGACGGACTGAATATTTGGGAGAGCTGTAATAGCGGTTCTAACGGCAGAGGCACAGCCTCAGACACCAAGTCAGTCGGGAGCGGTACATTTTACGTAGCTCGCAATGCTCACCTCCACAGGACATCTGCACGTCGTACTCGTAGGAGTGGCCCATTTTGAGATGGAGAAGAAGAATTTGTTGGGATTTGTGAAAAGTCTAGTTAAGACAGCTAGGGGATCGTTCAACGAGTCCGCAAGATCTTCGATAGACTGGGTCTGCTTGCTTTCCACTGGGAGAATGGATATGTCTTATAATTTCGTCAAGAGCGACTTGAGTGGACCGCACCCCTGTCTAGACCGTCACCGAAGTAGAGCATCTGCCTGAAAACGAGTTAATTCTGCGTACATCTGACGAGTTCCGCGTAGGCACCTTTGAATCCAATGTTCCAAACATGAGTCTCATGCTAAATGACCGTGTTGTAAAATACGTCAATGCACAGGAACTGCACCGCAAAAACAGCGCAGGTCGAGACGCAGGCGAGACAGGGGGCCAATCAATTCCAATGCTTACAAATAACCCGCCTGTATGGTCTGTCTTAACGATACATGAACTGTGTGATTCGTGTGCTGAATTGTGGCCGCGTGCGTGATTTGTGCGGAGTGTTGGGATACTGCGCTTACTCTATCACAGACAAAACTTTCCGCACAAAGCACGCAATTGTCACCGAGTTAGAACGGAATGATGAGATTGTCTACATCCCTGCGCCACCATACTCAAGGATCATGGGCGTTTCGAAAAGATTCGTCGCCTCCTAGCCAGCCTCATGCTAAGTCATGTTGGTATGGTCTCCCGCGAACCCAGCTTGATGGGTAGGAGGCGTCTCGATACTTCTATTTATTTCTCTCTACGTTCATTCTTGTAGAAAGACTTATCAACCCATTAGTTTGGCACCTGCTATAACTGGGAAGCTCTATCCTACCTCAGCCGATAGCTTCTTATCTGATTCCCAATCTTGGCACTAACTATAATTCAAACGGAGCCTTGCAACAACCTCGGCGTCTAAAAGTATGGCAAAGCAATCAAGATCATCATCACGGTTTCGGGATACCACTTTCCTCATCCCAGGAGTCCACTGTCCCACCTGTGCCTCCTTCATCGGAGAGTTCCTCCTCTGCCTCCGCCCAAAACCCATCTCAGTCGAGACTTCGATCGTTTCGCACAGCGTCACTGTCAAGCACGATTCGTCGTTGAGGGTGCAGACGATATCCAAAGCGCTTGGCGAGGCAGGCTACGAAGTTGAGACGGTAGTCTCGGATCCTTTCACCGGCGAAACATCACTTAACTTGCTGCGCGGTGGGGCCGATGATGACTTCCCTTTCGCGTGTCTCAATATAGCTGTGGGGCGGTGGAATCGCAGTCGGAAAGCTGCCGATGAGGAGACGAAGAGAATGCGACATATAGAGCATTGCGAGAAATGTCGCTCCCAGCAGCGGGAAACCGGGTCTCCTGAAGATGATCAAATACCCTCCTCCGATCGATCCTCCGACACGCGGACGGCCAGTAGCCCATTTGTCGTTATCGAGCCGGCCTCCACGCCTTCCAAGGTTCTCCAGGCATCCATCACTATCACCGGAATGAGCTGCAGTTCTTGCGTCGGCAAGATCACAGCAGCTTTAGAGCAGAAGCCTTGGGTGAGATCGGCCAACGTCGCTCTGCTCACCCAAAGTGCTACTGTAGAGTTCGATGGAGAACAGAATGCCGAGGAGTTGGCTAAGATTATTGATGGCATCGGCTATGAGGCAAGGCTGGAACATGTGAATGAGTTGCCACCGGCGCCAGGGGCTGGTCCCCGTGTCGTCGCAGACTTGTGGAAAGCCTCCTACTCCATCGGCGGTATGACGTGTAGCTCCTGTGTCGGTACGATCACGAAGGCGCTCGACAGTCTCCCATGGGCGAAGAGTGTGAACGTCAATCTCATCACCAACAGTGCCACAGTCGATTTCGAGGGTAAGAGTCACCTGAACGAGATTATTGAGGCTATTGAGGACGTCGGCTATACGGCTAGGCTGAGTGACGTTGTCAACCTAAGTAAGGACAAGGCCCAAGACGGGCGCAGAGCTGTGTCGATTGCTGTCGACGGTATGTACTGCCAGCACTGTCCCAGTCGTGTCGCGGAGGCCCTGAACTGTTTCGGCAACCTCGTGACCATCGAAAAGCCGGTGACCATAGGAACGCCTATCATGACGGTCTCATACACCCCTAACTCACCCGGCTTCACTATCAGAGCCATTCTTTCGGCCGTTTCGGCAGCCGACCCAGCCTTCAACCCTACCATATACCACCCCCCTACGGTCGAAGAGCGCGCGGCACAAATGCACACTCGCATTCGAAAGCGAATCTTTTATCGTGTCCTCCTCTCCCTCGTCGTCGCCGTCCCAGCGTTCATCATCGGTATCGTCTTCATGACCCTGGTTCCACCAACCAACCGTGGCCGCAAGTATCTCATGGGACGGCTGCATGGGGTCACGCGTGCGGAGTGGGCGCTGTTCATCATGGCGACGCCGGTGTATTTCTTGGCTGCCGATGTATTTCATCGTCGCTCGATCAAGGAGCTGTGTTCCCTATGGAAGCGCAGCAGTCCCGTACCTATTCTCCGTCGCTTTTACCGCTTTGGGAGTATGGACATGCTGATGTCTTTCGGCACGACGATTGCCTATTTTTCCTCCATAGTCGAACTGATTATTGCCGCGACCCTGCGTGATATGGCGGACATGAAGGGGAATACCACTTACTTCGACTCGGTCGTCTTCCTAACCATGTTCCTCCTTATTGGTCGCCTGATTGAAGCATACAGCAAAGCCAAGACCGGAGAGGCCGTCACAATGTTAGGCAGGCTTCGACCGAAAGAGGCGCTTCTGGTCCTCCCCAATGACGGCAAAGAAGGGGTCGATCGCACCCAGAACGTCCCTATCGACATGCTGGACCTCGGCGATGTGGTCAGGGTCGTGCATGGCGGTTCGCCGCCCTGGGATGGCGTCCTCCTCGAGGGGGAGGGCGAGTTTGATGAGTCCAGTCTGACGGGCGAATCAAGGCTTGTCAAGAAGACCGTCGGCGACCCAATCTACTCTGGTACGGTCAACAAAGGAGGGCCGATCGTGCTGCGTACCACTGGCGTCTCTGGGGATTCCATGTTGGATCAAATTATCAGAGTGGTGCGAGAAGGTCAGGCACGCCGTGCACCAATTGAAAGAGTGGCTGATATGCTCACCAGCTATTTTGTGCCGGTCGTCACCCTCATCGCTGTCTCGACATGGTTGATCTGGTTGTCTCTTGGTCTCTCCGGAACTTTACCGGAAGAGTATCTCGACGTCGAAATTGGTAGCTGGCCTTTCTGGTCCTTGCAATTTGCCATTGCAGTTTTCATCATCGCCTGTCCTTGTGGTATTGGCCTTGCCGCCCCAACGGCGCTGTTCGTTGGTGGGGGTCTAGCAGCGAAACACGGGATCCTCGTCAAGGGCGGGGGAGAAGCATTCCAAGAAGCGAGTGGTCTGGACATAATCGTGTTCGACAAGACGGGTACCCTGACTCAGGGCGGCGAACCCAAGATCACAGATCATCAATTCCTGGGTTCTGATGAGAGCTGGGAGGAGCAGACGATTGTTAATATCCTCAGAGAGCTGGAAGGAAACAGCAGCCACCCTCTTGGCAGAGCCATAGTCGGCTTCTGCGAATCCAGGAATGCGACGGGTGCCAAAGCCGGACATATGGAGGAAATAGCAGGAAAGGGAATGAAGGGCACGTTCAATGTCGCAACATTGTCCCACCCGATCGAAATGCTCGCAGGAAACGAGGCCCTTATGACTGACCACGGCATCTCCTTCGGCAGCACTACATCCGCTTCTCTGCACTTGTGGAAAGGCCAAGCGAAGTCGGTCGTGCTCGTTGCGGCTAGGGCTATATCATCCGCCGGGAATTCACCATGGAGACCGGTGGCCATTTTCGCTGCATCTGATCCTCTTCGACCAGAGTCTCGCCTTGTCGTCGAGGCTCTTCACCGTCAAGGTATAGACATATGGATGATTTCGGGGGACAACCCGACGACCGCCTATGCTGTTGGCGCTATGGTGGATATCCCAACGGAGCATATCATCGCTGGCGTGCTGCCAGAGCAGAAGGCCGACAAGATCAAGTACCTTCAGAAGAGCCAAGTGAAGTCCAGCTCGCGCTCCTTTCTCGGGTTGGCAAGCCAACGTACTAAACAAAGAGCAATTGTCGCCATGGTAGGCGACGGCGTCAACGACTCGCCTGCCTTGACCGTTGCGGATGTCGGCATTGCCATCGGTTCCGGGTCCGATGTTGCCATCTCCGCTGCCGAGTTCGTGCTAATCAAGTCCAGCCTATCGACGTTGTTGACGCTGGTTAGCCTCAGCCGCACCGTATTCAGGCGTGTTAAGTTCAACTTCGGCTGGGCTCTGGTTTACAACCTTGTGGCTTTGCCTATCGCCGCAGGAGTTCTCTATCCTGTGAGGAGCAACGGCCGACATATCAGGCTCGATCCTGTGTGGGCAAGTTTGGCTATGGCTCTCAGCAGTGTGAGTGTGATTTGCAGCAGCCTTCTCTTGAGAAGTAGGCTCCCGCTTGTGGGGTTTAGGGACAGCAAGACTTCGGCAGAAGACACGGAGGAGCTATAGACAGTGTTGCTGGTCGTTGGCGGATATCCGGTCCCATGTAATGACATCGCGTCTTGTGTTTCGTCTTAAAATACATAGCACAGGAAATCATTTGTGCGTATAGCGTGTCCGTATTGCGGGTAATCAAAACCCACGGGCTACATAACTTTTATCGTCTATCCCAGCTGTTTTATCATGCTTGTAGGTCTCGGAGGCTAGTTGTCGAGCCCATCGTGGGTGGGCACGCTTCTATCTCTTCCTCGGCGTTGCATCAAATGTTCCGCTATCATGAATTGTGTCTTGTGAACTGCCGGCAGCACTGTCAATTCTCAGCCCACGTCCACCTGCTCTTGTAGGTAGATAGCTACACTTTGTAAAGTTCAATTGTTTGTCACTTGATAAAACTTGTCGGACGATTAGGAAATTGAGAATATCAGCCGCCACCTGAGACCTGGTGACTGCATGTAATATGGCCGCTGTGAAGCCCATGGGAAGTGATCTCCTTATGAAGGTTCCACACAAAGTGTACCCGCGCAGAGCTCAAATGGGTGCGTCCGCTTCGTAGGTGGATTGACGTGTGCACATGGAAGTCGCTACATAACGGACGACCCGAGAAACAGTATTGTTGTCGTGTGTACACTACCAGAAGGAGAAGGGAAAAACGTCTTGTCCAAACCATCTCAATCTCGCACTCTGCTCCTGGTGGGAGACGTAAAAGGTAGATGGGATAGATTGGTGGCTCATTGGCCTAGGGCAGCGAGTGCTTTGTGTTCTACGAGCTCAAATGTTCCTTGACGACTTTGTCTCTGAAGCAGCACCAAATGGTTCAGTGGTGGCCGACAAGAAGCTGATTCGGCCCTCAAAATCTCAATTGTAGAGTTGCTGGACAATCCTTTCACACTCATCTCTTCCCTGGTATCTGCACCTACTATACATTGCTCATCTTAGCAATTTCAGGAACAAAGATAGAGTGGTCTGTTAAGAATTGTTCTAAATGTCAAGTTCATCCTGTCCACCAGCAATTATCGACTAACATCAGCAGCTCTTTTCAATGATATTCAAATGCACGCCAGATTTGGTCCTCCGTATAGACTGTCAGTCCTATGACGGACCTTCAAGGCCCATTCGCTAACCCCATACTCATACCAATCTCCACGTTCACAGCTATAGCCTGCTCGCTTGCTTTGATCAGATCTTCATCAAACTGTATACGACCTGCCTCGAAGACGACGAGGATGCTGGAGCCGCCAAATTCAAACCAACCAATCTCCTCTCCCTTCTTAACGTGGCTTCCTCCCTTGCAGAACTTTTCGTGAAACCTCAGTCCTAATTAGCCCTGTGCTATAGAGTTGAGATGTGCACAGGAGACAAACCTGATAGTTGCAACACCTGTTGCTCCAATCGCAACGAATAACACATCTCCAAATTCCGAGCTTGAGATACAGACACAAGATCTCGCGTTCTTGCTCACGATATCCACACTTGATCTTAGTGCCATCGGATCGACATGTAGTAATCCCCCGGGATGTGCTTCCACCAAATCACCGTGCCAGCCACCGGCGAGTGATAGCGGTGATAGTCCTGTACGCACAGGCGAAAGCTTGCTACAGCTCCCTCCGCCCACTTCTTTGCTAAGATGGACTCCATGATGAGATTAGCTATCGTAAAATGCTTGCCTTTAATCCAAATACTGTGCGAAAGGGCGACGCTATTGTAGACAACCACACGAGAGTCGGCAACTGTGACTGCCACACTCTATTCCAGGATTAATTGACGTCAATGACAAAAGAAGCAATACTTACCGGGTCATTGAAACAGGGCAGCAGTGC